AGGGGTCCAAACGGCGAGTAATCAAGGTGTAGGGGTGATATTTACATTGGGCTTCTTACACCACCCCAACACAGCCACGGTCACTATGATTTTCTAAAACCCCACATCCCCAGCGGACGTGGCATGGAAAATTACATTTTTTTTCAGAAACTTAACCATCCTCCATCAGTAAATGGCACCGATCGTTTCAATAACATTTAATGAACACTCGGTTTGTACCTTACGCATGTCTTGACAATTATAAAGTGGAAAAATTCACGTTTTGTCGTCAAACTCGCATTTGTCAACAAACTGTGGCAGCCATCTTGAATCACGCGTGACTTAATTGATTAACGGTGATCACGTGATACAACTTTTTCTTGACGTCACAGCCGTGAAAAAGAAATCTGCATGTACTTTCATCGAATCCCGTTCAACGAACACTATAAAGAAACATGAATACAACTGATCAATAAATATTTCACGAATTTATTATTCATTTATTGTGTATTTATTTTGAAAATTAGCATAAATAAATGATGTACTATAACTAAAATTTAATTTATTTTTATTTATTTTTAATTTTAAAAACCCATCATGCTGAGCAGTCTCCACCCATCTTTGATCACAGATGTTGTGTTGAGCTGTATATATTTGAGACACATCTGTAGCAGCTATAACCTCCATCATTTAGTATACTTTTTCTGCCAAGCATGATGGATTACACAAAATAATATATTACTTTTTAAAATTAAAGTATTTTTTCTTGAAAATAACTGAACATTTAAACATTTTAGTCAAAAACCACAACAATTATTTGTAAAACAAGTTTTATATTGATTTTCCTCATAGAAAACACGCTTTCGTCATTCAGCTCTGACGTCATAGTAAAAAGTTTTATCACGTGATTAATCTCGCGTGACCAAAATGGCGTCTCTGTTTATATACTTAAGTACCGTGTATACGCATTTTGGGCAATAAATAGTCTGTTTTAACATCCAAAACTCCCCTACAGTACATCAATTCAACAACCGAGTGTTCATTACAGTATGTTAAGGTGATCGACGCTGCTTTTGGTGCAAAGAGGTACGAATTCGTCCCAAAATGAGACATTTTGTATGACATGTGTAGTGTTTTTGAAAATGCCTATGGTCGTTCACAGGGTTGTGTATTGGGGCGCAGATAAGGTCCCGATGAATAGGAGCGTCTCCACATTCACAGACCTGTACACAGAGCTATAGCAGTGCCTGAGTACTAGAAATGTAGCACTGCTTTTTAACCACACTGAGAATACGCATGTGGTTCATATAATTACTAGTATCTTAGAATCTTTGAAATACTTGCTGTCACGTATTAATATATATGCACGGCACTGAGCTGTAATATTATAATTCTTCATGATCTTACAAAAACCGAGCCATCAACGATCTGAGATAAAAACAAATAACAGTGTGTGTCAGCTTGTATCTTGTTATGGCTACACTTCCAGACAAGATTAGAAGCCATAAGGGATAACTCTTTGCATGAACTGGTACACCGGCTGGTACACCGGCTGGTACAACTTTTCAGATTAATATATCCAATCATAATCTGATTAAAATCTGATGTAGGTAAAGGCTTTGATTGCTTTTAGCAGGCGGCACTTTATAACCATCTGTGTTACACACCTATAAATTACAATGATATATAGAAGATAATGAAGATAATTTGGTAATCGT